TTTTTTTTTTTTAAGGGGGGAAAATCATCGAATGACTGCTCCCGCCTGGGTGAGGCGGGAGGGAGTGTCAGACTCTTACTGACTAAAAACCACCCCGTTCCTTCTCCTGCACGTCGAGCCGGAGCCCCGGTTGCCCGTTAGGTTCTCCGCGACAGGTGAGTAGCCTACAAGTGGATTGTGTTACGTTGTCCGGCTCACATTGAAGAAATTTTCTTGCAAGTATTTAAAATTACCGCCTTTTGCAGGAGGTGATAGGTGTTACTTGATAGGTTCAGTGAACTAAGGGACTGGTGAAGTTGTTTGGGGACGACTCCTGTAGAAGATAGAACTATTGGGACTATAATCACTTTTTGTAGGAGCCATAATCGGGTTATCTCGTCTTTTAATTCAGTGTATTTGGAGAGTTTTTCAGATATTGTAGTCTGTAGATTATGGGTATTTGGTACAGCTATATCTATTAAGAATGCAGTGTTGTTCGTTTTGTTGATTAGTGTAATGTCTGGTCTATTGTAATGAATAGTGCGGTCGGTGAAGATTGCTCGGTCATAGTACAATTTTGTTGTGCTATTCTCTAGAACAATTTCGGGCTTATATTTGTAGTACGGTACAATGGATTCTACGAGTTTGTACTAATAAGCTAGTCTCTGGTGAATTATGTTGGCTACTTGGTCGTGTCTGTGTTTGTAGCCTGCTGGGCTATTGATTTACAGGCGCCAGTTATGTGTTGGATGGTTTCTGGGGAACTATTGCATTTTCTACAAGTGTCATTTGGCAGATTCCTGATGATGTTTTCTATAGTTTTTAGTCTCTATTACTTGGTCCTGTATAGCTAGCATGAACCCCTCAGTCTCCGGGAAGAGTTCACCTCGATTTAGCCATACGTTCGACGCTTCTTTGTCGACGTTCGGTTGACATAAATCTTGATGGTGTCTTCCATGTAGAGACTTTTGGGCCCATTCTAGAAGTTTTGTTTTATCATCTGTCAATGTTTGAAATGAAATGAAAAATGTTTATTCGGCATAAGACATGCACGCCAGAAAAGACATATAAATATAAAAAAAAAGCATAAAAACAAAAATTAAAAGATAAAAGTTAAATTATAAAACTAAAACTAAAATAAGCCAATAAGCCATTCAAGTGCGCGGTGTTGGCGGACATGTCCAATCCGAACGGGTCACCAACTCAGCATAAAGCTGGGCACAATGAGCACCCAACACTGATTTTCAGTTGGCACCCCTGCAGTGACGCACGGACGAGAGCAACACATACTTGTAATCCACATAA